AGGAACTATGAGAGACGCGGTGCGCGCGGTGGGTGTTCCGATTCGAAAGTGATTACATTTGACTTGGAATCGTGCCTCCTTACCAAAGGCAGCCTCCGCTGGTACAGAGCTCGGCAACGAGGACATTCTTCCCCGACAATGCCTCCCACAATCGAGCGAGCGGCACTTCCGCGCATACTAATGGAGAGCGCCTAGACTCCTTTGGCCAGCCAGTAGTCGACGCCCCAACCACCCTTTTCACCCTTTGTGCGCACTGTGGAAAACTTCTCGAAGCACGGAGACGTTCTATTCCTCCTTTTCTAGGAGGGAATTACCACGACCTCGATGGATTTTTACAGAGGTGTCGTGTGCGTGGAGGTAAGTGAAAACGCGAGGGAGGCTCATCAAGCAAACGGGGCTAATTTTGAGCGTAGACACGAGGATTGGGGATGGATTCAGGCTTAATTCCTTTGAGACTCGCTGCAATTTTTCCTGGAGATACTCACCATTGGCAAAAACGTAGAAATCTTACGAAATAAGATTCATTGCGTTAAATTTGAAGTTGAACAATATTTTACTTATTGCAGAATTAAGATATGGCTCGCAGCTTACGTAGATACGATACACTGGAACAATCCTCTTTGGTACACTGAAATGATTTAGCCAGGAACAATTTCCGCTAATAAAATTTTTCTATCAACTCTCATGTCGGAGTTGTTACGAAAATTGTTCGATGGATATTCATTAATCCAAAGAAAACTGGTAATTTTATTAAAATATTTAACCATGCGTTTGATAGAGAAGAAAATTCAAATCAGAGGTAAAGCAGGTTACATATATTCTTTTGCGCGAATGGAGAGTAGAAAGGATCGGCACGTTCATTCCGAGAGCGAAGTAAGAATTATAGAATCGTTCTGAAATTCGCTCGTGCGCACGGAGACGTTCCTGGCTCTCCATTCTGCTGTTATCTCGCCACGAAGAAAGCGTGATTGCCTTTATGGGGGAAGAAAGGGTCCTTCGCGGTGGCGATAATGTCCTCGCAGCGGCGACGGAGGCGTCGCTATCAGAAATAAAACACGACGCAACGGAGGGGTGGTTCGAGGGTCGACGGGGAGGCGTGGAGGTTCCTCCCTCTCGTTCTAGAGATTTTCCTCCCCGACGATTCCAGCACACCCCCCCCCCCCCTCCGATTAGTCCTACGAATTCGTACGTAGGTGTCTGAGAAATACTCGACCTTCCCCGATCGACCTCCCTTCTTTCAGGGTTCTGTGTCAAGGATCCGTTTGCGAGAACCTACTTCCACTAAACGTGACGCGAATTGATTTACGCGAGATGGTAATTACGCTAATAATCGGTGGTTCTCGATCGCGGTGCTGCTTCTTTGATAAGAGAAAAGTTCGAATTTTTCGAGACTCGTTTGCTAACCACTGACCACCACTCGCGATCATTTTTTGTCTTTTAATGTTTGGACATTCTTTAACTCTGCTTAATTGCCTCGTACTATTCTGTTGTTATTACATGTTGTTTGACTGCGTTCAACTCAGTAACACGACATTTTATTTTATTATTTCGAGTTTCACAGTTTCCAGGTTCTAATTGTTTCTTAATTTTGCACGATTTTTGATCCGTTGCTATTCGTATTTTCGTATTATTTCTGCAACTTGTGTATAACTATTACGATAAGTACATTAATCGCAGATACAATTTCTAATTCTAATCTCTGATTTTCTTCAATCTCATTTCTAGTTATATTGACATTTATCTGCGAGTCAATATTTTTCTATTTTTATTTTCCCCTACGTTTCGTGAACTTTCGTAACTCTTTAACAATAATTTGTGTCCATTCGTTTTGATAAATCTCGGAGTTATCATACTTTGGTATAAAGTTTAAGGTGCTGGCTACCAACCCTTGACAGCAATGAGAGAAAAAAAAAAGGGAGTGTCTCTTCTGATTAAGTTTCAATTTATTTACAAACGTCGCGTTATATTACAGCAATAATTAACAATTAATTACGCGTATGTCGCTTCAAAGGGGGGGGGGGGAGGGGTTCCAAGATTATTGGAAAACTCGACGAATTATACGATCGCTACTATCTTCATTTATTTGTTTTCGTTTACGGCAAGAACGGTGGCCGAGGAGCTTACGTAAATATTGGAAAGATATGTTTCTATCTCTTAGATATGCGTTACATTATAATCATTCGTGCGATCCCGTTCGTATAAACGGTGCAACGGGATGCGCCGATTTCCTACGATCGTTACGATTTAGTATACATTTCTCTATAGCGAAGGTGTCCGTGGGAAATTAGCCTCCAATTCCGATCTGTTTGACAACCGTGTGTCGATTCGTCGAACGTCGACGCCGAAATATCGATCGAAAATATGCGGGCTACGGCCGTTGAAAAATTTCGGAAATACGGGGTGCGCATCGATTCCGAAAAATCGCGTTCCGATAAAAATGCGAGGACGCTGGCCGTGTTCGGAATGAATGCAACAATTCCCAGGCAGAATGCAAACAATTTGCTTGAATTGAACGGTCTATTACCGTTGGCCGATTATTCGAAGGTCTCGCAGCTGCGAATTACGACCTGCGCGAGTGTAGAGATGGGGAAAATTCTTGTCTTGGTAAAATTGTCGAATAACGAAGGGTGAATAACTTGTAAATAGTCGATAATTAACGCTAAACCGATGGCACGCTTTCTCGCTTAACAAACAATTCTCGAAACAGAAACGGACTGGAGCAAACGTAACGATACAAATCCTTCGAAGCTGTCACGATGCTGACCTTTTTTAAGAGATGGAAAGTTCTTTACCTGTTGTTCCAACCATAACAAAAGCCATTGTAACGACAACGCAAACTTGAAACTATGATCGATCAAAATCGACACAGCGAGGGGGTTAAAAACAACGATCTCCGTCGCAATTAACACGCGAAAAGCAATAACTCGTGTATCACAAACGTTGACATTCGCAGATTCCGATCCACGCTCGGCAAATTCGCATTGCTCCCTTTCGTAATCCTTGCGTGTCCGCGCAAGCTATTACAAGGGAGGGAGATACGATAACAAGAAGGGAAACGGGGGTAAAATAAAGAAACGGGAAAATATCGGATAGTTGCAGTATCGATGCGCGACGCCGGGCACCGCGACGCGATGAAATCATCTCGCGAGTGGGTGGACGGGGCGGTGGGGCGGGTGGGAGTGGAGCGAGTATATAGCGCGTATACAGGTCCGCTGTCGCATCTACGTTAGCATTCAGAACGTTTGGCTTATTTCGCATGGCCGCGTCCCAAAGAAGAGATTTGCCTCCGCTTGGAAGAGGTTTTTTTTTCTCCCTCTCCTGGCGAGCCAGGGCTCTTTCTGTCCCCCATGCGTGTCTGTGTGCACATGCCTCTGTCCTACCGTCCCGCTTTGGCTCGCGCGCGCGGTAATATGTGCCACGAGAGGGTTGGTTATCTCATCAAAATTGGACTCTTCTGGCATCCCGTGCCGCCTCTCTACACGCTTTACCAGAAAGGACCCCTTCGCCTCTCTTTGTGGGATTTCGGCCGTGGCGAGTTATCGATTCGGCTTTGCCATCCACCGGGAGGCTCGCATAACGAATTCTTTGCGGCGACGATTGCACCCCGTTCGGCCTCCGCCTTCTCCGGGACCTTCAATTTGCACCGTGGTTTCGAATCGCGTTCTCTGGACAGATCGCTCGCGACAGAGGGTTGCTCCGCCGAGAACGCCCTTGGAGCTTGGAAGCTTCGAGCTTCCCGTCGTGTACGCGAGAAAGATGACGCTGGGGGATTAAAATTATCGCATAACGCAACAGGTTTTTCTGGAGATTCGCGTGATTTTTTTAAGAATTATGCAGAGCCTGTTTTATTCGAGTCGATGTATCAAGAAAAGGGAGTTTTTGTTTGAGTGTTGCGTGCGAGATGTCGGATTTTTCGAAGTTGGGAAGCTGGTATACCGTGAAACGCGTCGATTGGTCGAGGAATGGAGGCAATATTGGACAGAGATGGGCAAAACCCTAGACTTCGAATAAATCTAAGGTTTGTCAACGTATTTGTCTTGTTTCCTTTTTTGGAAAATATTCGAAAGAGGAAACGAGACAAATATGTTGACAAACTTTAGATTTATTCGAAGTCTAGGGTTTTGCCCATCACTGATATTGGACGATATTATAGTGGCAGAGTCTCAGAGTTTTCATCTGGAAAGCTAAAGTGACCAAGAAAAGAATCGAAGGAACGCGTTCTTCGCTTTCACGCGTGACTTTCAAAGCTTCGAGTTTCTACCAAAAATCACAGTAACAATGATGACGTTAAACAAAACTGTAACATTATCGTCATGGAGGAACAGGACCTAACCTTGAGCTTGGTTGGAATTTCGAGTCAAGTAATGAATGGTCTGTCGAACCGAGTCGAGTGTTTGAAAATTCCGAGTTACTTGAAGTCTGATTTTTTCGAGTAGTTCGCATTCTTTTTCAAACAGTTCGTCGATTTCCAGTAGCTCGGAATTTTCAAACACTCGACTCGGCTCGATCAATCGAATCGAGCTCAGCTCAGTTCGTAAATGTCGACTACTCGCCTAGTCAGCTCTGCCTACTTGGTCTTTTAAAGCTTTGAGCTACTATCGAAAATAGTAACAGTAACAGAACAGTAACAAAACGATGACATTAAACAGAACTGTGACGTTATCGTCGTGGAGAAACATGACGTCGGCTCTGCTTTCTAGGTCTATCAAAGCTTTGAAAAATCACAATAACAAGGTTGACGCTAGAGATCTATAATTATCACATCCCCCAGGATCGATCTTCCTTTTCCAACTGTCTCCTAGTCCAAAACATCCGTCCACACGATCGTACCAAGTCCACTCTACCTTCCAGTCCACTCTACATTCCTGGAATCTCCACGTCGTTCCCCAATCTCCACGCGCAACTTGTAACTGAACGAGGAGGCCTCGTCCCCCGAACGCCTTCCAACGCCAAGGATCACTGCACGTTGGCGACGTGCAGGTTTCTCGATCTGACTGGGGTCCTCTGCTGATCGTCCTGGAACTGGACGTCGTCGTCCTTCGCCAGAGCGTTGAGGTTCGTGACGGTAGCCTGGGGGATTGGCGACAGCATCGGTGGGACTCTCCACCAGTCCGTGGTCGGCCATCCGGCTGGTACCAGGTTCCCACGGAAGTTTAGATCCGGGAGAACCGGAAGCGGTCTTCATATGACGTGCCCGCGGTGAGCGCCCAAGGTCGAGCTGGATGAGGTCAGATTCTGAACGGAAAAGGCGCTCTCCACCTTCGTGGACGTCGTGGACGTCGTCGTGGGACCGCTGCTGGCTACTTTTTCCGTCTGTTCGGTGGGAGAGGAGGACGAGGACGAAGAAAATCGGTCCTGAGACCTGTCCTCGTGGTGTCTGTCCACGGAGGACGAGAACCCGTCGTCCTCCATCTTTCTGTACCGAGACTCCTCCCTGCTGGAGTCTCTGTCCGATGGGAAACCGTCGTCCTCCGGTTTTCCAGGACTCGGGAACGGTCTCTCCTCCAATTTGGTGGCTAGGTAAGACCTCTTCGGGTCCTTGGGCGGACTGGGACAGCCGCAGTTCGGCTGGAGGCAGGCTGCAGTCGATAAACTCGGCCAGGACATGGTCTGATGGCTCGAGTAGAAAGTACTGCCCCCGTAGAGGGCCTGAAAGGCCAAATCCGCCGCTAATTTGCCGCCGTTGAACTCCTCGCCCAGCTTGTGCTGGATGGGGTAAAGTGGATACGGAAAGGGCGGGAAAAAACGGGGGATCTTGAGATCCTCGTGGCTCATCAGCGCGTGATGCGACGGGGGCGCCAGAGGTGGCAACAGGCCTCTCGATATGTTGCCTAAGGTTTCACCTGAGGACATCAGGGGCGATATCGAGAAGCCGAATTTGTTCTCCTTCTTCACGAGGGATTTCGGCTTCCTGCGGGGCCGGTACTTGTAGTCCGGGTGCTCCTTCATGTGGAGGGCTCTGAAACAAAACGTTGGCCCTTGTAGAGTTTTATTGTTGGTTGGTATATAATTGAGTTAATTATTGGGTTGTAATTGGCTAAATTCATGGTTGATCTTAGACGACAGTGAGGTGAATTAAGGGATGATCTACGCATTGTACTACTCATGTTATTCGTGACTAAATGAATGTTTAAGTTCCTTAAAATTGAAATTATTTTTTTCTGGAGCAAGAAAATATGTTTGGAGATGTTAGCCATTTCTTTGGAAATTTGTTTAATTCTGATAATTGTAGAATGGATGAAACGTGCGAAACTTTAGGCACATTTATGGAATTGTCCAGAAAAATGTGTAAATTGTAGATAAAATTAAAGAAAGACTCGGAAGTTATGTTTTCAGAACAAGTCAATATTTTCTTCGGGCGTCTGAACGGCAGATAAACTAAAAAAATAAACGAATACAAAATTCGTGAGAGTGCCGTTTACATTGGGAACTCCGAGTTGAAACAATTAATTGACTCATTTATAGCCGCGATAGTAGTCCAATCCCCTGAACTTGGTTTAATTTCAACAATTTTACCTGGTACAACCCAACGAATATTTTATATATTTTCTTTCATATATTCGTCTAGGATCGAATAGACGCGTTTAGACGTCGACAGGGCTAGGCTTAGACAATGATTTCACCGGTATCTACCTTCGATAATCCGGGCGCGTTCGTTATCACGCCGAGAATCGCACGACGAGACATTTCGGAATTCAGTAAACTTTGCTCTCGACACCGTTATCCGTACAAAGGGACGTATTATCGTGGTGCTAGGACACGATACGGGCCACCATGGGTATTTGTAGTAAATATCTTGTACACACACCCCGGCTGGAGGCGCAGTCGACACGTCGGAGGGCTGCTAAAAGAGAGGGGAGGAAGGGAAGAGTCAGAGCCCCGTGGTATCTCCGTCACATAATACTCCATTATGTATCCAAGAGGCGCACAAACGCAGTCCTTATTTATGCTTCGCCTCGTGTAGATAAAAGAAAGCGAGAGAGATAGGTGTTTCATGGCTGGGAACTCCTTTTCCTCTACGACGAATTTTTCTTTCTTCTTTACGTGCGACGTGTTTTCGCGGGGATTTCTCCCGGAAACGTTGGCACAATGGGGCCTACTCGAACTATTTCTGGCACCCAGCGAAGGGATTTTATGTCAACATTCGTTATGTCAAGTTTCGCGAGCAATATGCGTGATCGATCTGTGATCAGAGTTTTTGGAAAGCTTGTATAGATTTGTCAGAAATAAAAGATAGTGGAGGTTTTTAGTAATTTTTAGAATTTGAGGTTGAAATAGAATGGAATTCTTGCGTTTTAGATTTTATTCAAGATAGATATTTTAGAGTTAATACTTGTGTGTCCACTTTTTTTTTTTTTAAGAGACCAAGGGAAATGATTAAATTGCTTGCACTAAACGATAGCATTGTTTCATACAAGAATGAAAAATGAAGACGAGATATTCGAAAAATCGTAAATTTTCAAAAACGTTAGATTATATAGTTCCGAATCGTCTCGAAGCATAATTCCTCAATTTTCGCAGGAATTATTCCGAAGCGTTAAACCGTTGCTTCGTACAACCAGCGCTGCCCAAGGCCGCGCGATAGGTCGTCTAAAATTTTCCAACTCGCGAACGAAATCCGAAATTTTGGTTCCTCGCGGCGCGAGAGTGACGCAGCGGAATAATAATTCCGGGACAATGTGTCCCGGCAGATAGCACAAAGCGTAAATCAGCATAAACATCGGTAAAGCCCCGCCGACAATAATTCAGCATAAATGCATAAACATCGGGCGTAATCTTTACAATTCGCTGGGAAACCCTCCACCGCCGCCGCCACCACCACCGACACCGGGCATCGTTGCTACCCCCGTGGACTGTGCGCCACAGTTTCAGCATCACCACTTCCAACTGCGCGATAAACAACGCGTTATATCATATCGGTGGACATAAGCCGCGCGGTAGCCGCGCTCGCGGCCGCCGCAACAAGAAACAATAACAATTAGTCACGATTGTCCGCCGGTGCTCCGCGAATGTCATTAGTGTAACGATTCGTCATAAATGTCATTGTGCCGCAACGATCGGACTTTCGCGAACCGTTGACGGTTTTGTCGTTCGATAATCGTCCCTTTCGCTATGAGATGTGTTTGTATTTAGGAGGGGGGAGGGATGCTATGAGGGTTAACGAGCGAGTAGATAGTAAATGATGGTGGAAAGTAAGTTTCTTTGAATTTGATTATGTACTTGTTTTTTTTTTTATTGGTTGAATGAAGCACTACCTGGGCTGTCAGTAAAGACTCGAGCAATCTCTGTAGTCCTTCCTTTGCGATCAACTCTTTATACTTTAACACTCGTTTATATCGTGCAATTCATAAACGTCAATGAGCTTCTCAAACTACACTGATTTCAAACTAAAAACTTCAATTTCCAAGACTGTATCACCTCAAACCAAGAAACTAATCATTGATCCCCAAGATTCTTCCTTTTCATGACACTCTTTATCCTTTAACCCTGTATCTTAGGAATCGTGGCAGTCAACGACCGCTGCTAATCTCGTCTAACCTTCATATAACCTACCTCAAGCCACGAAGTCACTGTCAATATATACTCAAACATTTTTTAGACAAACCACCTCAATCAAGAGACTAATCATCGTTCCCCAAGATTCTTCCTTCTCGTGACACTCTCTATCCTTTAACCCCGTATCTTAGGAATCGCGACAGTCAACGACCGCTGCCAACCCTCGTCTAACCTCCATGCAACCTACCTGGAACCACCAAACCGATCAATCTCTCAGTACCGTTTCTTTCGCGAGTCACCCTTCACCCCTTGACATTTACACCTCGCGGAAGTCCGTGTCGCCAGGCGTCTCGAGACTTCCGAATGACAAAGCGGTCGCTATTTCCGCGACACCGTATTAATTCACCCCGTTTTCCTTCGCCCAGCCCTTTCCACGGTTTCCGCGTCAGCCGTACGAAAACGGGAACGGGGGACAACGGCGTTGGAAGCCTCCCGAAAAGAGGGTCTCTGGAGGAGGGAATCGTCGGACAGGCAGCAGTAGTGGCAACGGCACAGCCAACGAGCAGCCGTGAGGGTGAGAGAGCCAGGGGCGGGCGGGTAGGGTAGGGGCCGCCAGAGGAGCCGCGCAAATCCTTTTAAATCCACACAATTGCGACAATGGGGCTTTATTTGTTATCTCGGGGGCCACATTGTGAGTCGCCGTGAACGAACGGACAGATTACGTCGGGCCAGTGACGGCACGGCTCCAGGGGAACCCGTTCCTGCCAGGAACGTGGCTCCAGGAGAACCGCTTTTATCGGGGCCCCCTCTTGCCCCTCTTCTTTATTTTACGACCGTCCACACTGTCCCCTTCGAACCCCCGTGCCGTTACCAAAGTCGTCACCGACGCCTCCATCCGCCAGAAAAGCGGATTCGCTGTTACACGCTTCTGCCCCCGAAATTTTACCCTCCTTCCACCTCGTCGCCCCTCTGTCGCGGGTAACCGTCTCTAGCCACCGAGATGCGTTTCCACGGAATGAATATTGAGATCCTCCGACGATTTTTTCGGTGTTCGGTATGGGAGACTCTTAGTTTCTCGCGGTAGGTGTCTTTTGGGGGTGCAGGCGAGGGGGTAGGTTTCAGAATGGAGCTTTGGTGGAAGATATGCTTCTTGCCAAAGTTATTTTTTTTTCAGAGATTGTATCGACTCCGAAGGTTCCTTAGAATTCTTTTACTAGGGGGTTGGTTTGAATTTAATGATTGATGATGACGTAGAAGACTGTCCAAACTTAGATGAGTGTAGGTTTATGCGAAGGGGTAGAATTCAGCGGAGTAAATATTTCGGAGAATAGGTGCGCTGAAATTAAGGCCGATCGCACACGGCACAACCGATTTGAAATTAGTGTTGCAAACCGTTTGCGTATCTTTGTTTTACCTACTGCACTATCTTTGTTTTACCTAGATCCACGATCGCATGCAACTATGTAGTTTTAGAGTGGTTTGAAACTGATCGGTTGCACCCATGTGCGATCGGCCTAAAAGAGAATAGTTGCGTATAATGTATTCACCTTCGTAATCGAGGAAAAATACTTAAAAATATTCTGATACTCCTTTCTCGGACCAAAAAGCAACGAACCAGTAGAAGTGTGCGATGGTAAAATTTTACAGTACAACTTTCTATACGTTTCGCTCGTGCGTAACAATAGTTCTCGCGCAACAATTGAGAAAAGCAACACATGAAACCGTGCGCGAATTTGAACGCAAAACGTTACGGATCAGAAAAACGAGCGTCGACCGGTACAGGTCGGGTGTCAATGTTGAATATCCTCTTCTATATATATATATATATTTTTTTTTTTTGTAGATTCGATCACGGTCATCTACAGAAAAGCGGATTCAACGTAACATTCCGCCCGTATAGCCGGCAACCCCAGTCTCGTTTTCTATTTTTCGAGTAAAACGAACACTTGGCAATTGAAAGCGAATCGACGGTGACGCGATTTCGAAAGAAACGACTTTATTATTCCATTATTTATTTTACGAGGCTCCATCGTCGCGGCGGGTGATTCCGCGAGGGTTTATATCGAAGCCCCAGCCGCCTCCTATCAATTGCCTATACCCGGCAATTTTTGCTTCGAAAAAACCGTGATAAAGCTGGACTCTGTCGGCGCTTTCACGCGTCGCACTTTTAAATTAATTCTTCCCTCGCTGCGTTTCCTCCTCGCTTTGTTCGTCGTTTCAATTTGACGTTGTAATTTCATCGGGACATTTTTTTTTACAGATTTTTTTTTTAACGCGACAAAGAGGTAGAGTAAAGTAAACAGGAACTGGAAGAACAATTTGTATTTTTATTATTCGGCAACGGTTTCGGTTGAAATTGTCCTTTATAAGCTTGAGATATATAATTGACATCAAAGTTTCTTCTTGATCATAATATTGAAATTTCTATTTTCATTCAACTCAATTCTGAACGAAGTGACCTTTTTGTTTTCGTTGATTTGTTAAGTGGAGCTTTGAAAAGCCAGAGGATAAGAAACACTACTAATTTAAAGTCCCGAAAAAGATATTACATTTTATTATACGTATGCGATAAAAATGGTTTTTGGTTGTTCGTGAAGGTTCGAGAATAATTTCTTAACTGATACCTAATGGGGCAAAGAGAAGTTGATTAATTTACAATTGCCTTAAAATGGAAGAACAGTGCTTCAAAAAAATCCAATATTCATGTCGAATATACTTCACGTAAGATGGCGAATATTAAACGCTGGATTTTCAATTTTCGTTCCAGCGATTCTTCCCAAATTAATCCCCCTCGATGGACGCTGATAATTAAAGGGGCAATAAAAATATCGTTCGATCGTGAAATCTCATCGACCTGTTCACCGTTCGTCGAGCTAAATAAACTCATAACAATGATTAAATATTCAGGATCGGTTAATAAAGGGCTTGTCCCCCTCAACCTTCATAAATACCACTTCGTTCGCCCTATTCCACCCCTTAGCTTAGCGCAGCACGCCCTTAGATTTAGCAACAATGTACCGTATTATGAACTACGAAGGCCCCCCTTCTCGTTTACGATCCTCCTTTCCCATCGGTTATCGCAGATACGCCTCGATGCGATAATTTCATTCGAGCGATCGCGACTAAAGAGCAATTAGCGTGCAAAGAAAAATCGTGGGCGTCGATTCAAAGCGATACGGTACGGTATCCATCATTGTCGAGCCGATCCTCGAGTGTAAAAATGAAAACTCATTCTGCACACTAGTGATATCGGTATAGAAGCGATTCATTGATATTTTTATAGTCTTGTAATTCAAGTAATTTTCTTCGCGTTCAACTAGACGCGCGTTGAAATAAACGGTTTTAACCTCGAACGAGGTCAGCCTCGGATTGAGGCCACGTACCGGCTTGAACAAATTTTACACGAAACGGGAGTCGAAACACAAACATAATTTATGTAGTATTCGGTACAAACGGAATATTCAAAAAGCGCGATAAAAAAAAAAGAACGAAAGAAATATATAAATGGCTACACGAATATAATAGAATACCAGATTCGGTTATTTAATAATTTTTATTGTGTTTATCGTTTTCCTAAACTCGACTCACTGGCAGTGGTCTCATTAGAAATTAGATAGGGATAGAGAGAAACCCTCTTAATCAACTCATGCGCATCCCGTAATAGATGACGGGTCATTTAGCTATCTTGAGATTCATAGTTACTGTTCGATGCTTCTCGAGACAGTTAGTCATTGAACTAGCTTAACAAAGTTATAGAAATCATTATGTACATCAGTATTGCGTACTACGTTTGATGTGATTTATGTTCTTCAAGAGAACTAAACTCCGCAACAGTCGAAACATCTAATTAGATACGAAGTGTTGCTCAATTTCACAAAATGGTATACATCACACCCGCGTTTAGAAATCTTAGGTACATAAAACATCCAAAATAGGGGAAACACAGCTTAATAGTTTCTCATTTCTTAGTTTCAAGGATTCAATGAATTCCTAAAAACGTACGAATACCCAGAAAATACTCCTATTTTTAAAAGATCAAATAAAATTAATACACCAGAGCTTCACGTAAATCCTTTTGTAAATCCTTTTAAGATTCTAATGTAGATCAAACCATTCAATCGCCCGCCACGAAATTAATTATTATAACGCAATTTTAATTCATGGGATATCAATTCATGGGTTCAATTGAAAGTTTCGAATTCTCACCTAAGTCGTTTGGCTTCGTCGATGAAAGGTCGCTTCTCGCTCTCGCTGAGCAGCTTCCACTCGGCGCCAAGCCTCTTCGAGATCTCCGAGTTGTGCATCTTCGGGTTTTCCTGGGCCATTTTCCGTCGCTGTCCGCGGGACCACACCATGAACGCGTTCATCGGCCGTTTGATGTGCTCATTGTGAAGTGTTTTCGACGACATCTCGGCTCTCTGTCTCTGATCCTCTTCCAATCGATCGCTCGCCCACGGAATCTCTATTTAATCGGTCTCTGTTGACGTAGCAATCGCTTCGCGCCGTTCCATTGACAGGGAACTATCACTGTTCTCATACTCGATGATCGCCGAGTCACCTCCAACCGGTGGCAAACAACGAAGCACAGCACCTCCTCGACAACTCAACCTCCAATCACGTGGTCCTCGAAATAGACGATTTTCGGCACCACAGGTAGTTCAATCGTTCCTTTCAGGGTCTAGAGAGTTCGATATCACCAGTTCGATCTAGTCAGAAGAGTTAAAACTCTCGATCATCCGGTTCCGGGTCAGGTGACCTCGTCAATCTCACCATTCGTTGATCTAGACGGATCGGCTTCGCACACCTTCTAAGATCCCGAAACTCTCGCGCAACCGACACATCCCCAGTGTCCTGGCTGGTCTATCACTGTCTATCACAGAATCTTTCCACGGAGTCGCGTCTCGACTGACAGCGTCTGCTCGTCCAAGATGGTCCAAGATGGTCAGACGCGAATTTCAACGGACGTGCATCGAGTTATCTCGTCCGACAGGGACAGGGAATACCACCGTCCCGTGACCCAAGCTGTTCGATTGATACCGTGACGAGGACTGGCAAGGATCAGCCAGGACCTCTCCGACGTCGAGTCTGGGACGAGCCAGGGAGGAATCGAGGGACTCGCGGAGTAGCCGAAGCCCCGTGGGACGCGATGGAAACCAAGGATCGGCCAACCAGAAATGTTCCTCCTCTCCCACCAGGCTCCGCGGCTAATGGACACCCACGATTGGCTCCTTCGCCGACATGGCGGACGGAGGATATAGGCGCGTTCAACAGGTGGAGGTGACGCGTCTCTGTTCGGTGCATCTCCTCTTCTCTTCTGTTGCACGGACGTTGCTGGCATCCGATCCGCGATGCCACGAGTGTGTCTGTTACGCAGATTATCGTACTACCGTGCCTTTTTTTCCTGACCTTTCTGACCGTCGATGGTCAGACTGTATCCGGGACACTCGATGGCTCCGCGAGACAATGCGTTCAGGTTTGATTCGGACGGGTTAAGTGCAATAGGTCCGTCACGACACAGACAGGATCCAGTTGAGCGATCGATGAGGAGATCGTGGGGGATTTTAAGGTTAACGGGGATCGAGAATTCGGGGTTTGGATGGGATTGTTGGACGAGTATGGTTTCCTGGAGTCATTATTGAATTTTTGTGATTGATCGATGGATTATGGAAGTGAGGAATGAATGTTATTTGGTATTGTTTTCGGGGTGGTTGATAGGTGATTATTTCACTACATTGGTAATAATTGTAATTGTCGAATGATTTTAACGGAGTAATTATTGATGTTTGTAATTGAGATGGGCTATGAAAGTGAGGAATGAATTTTATTTGGTTCTGAAAGTTTTTAGGAGTGGTTGGTAGATGATTGTTTGATTACATTGGTAATAATTGTAATTATCGAATGATTTTAATGGAATATTCATTCTTAATAGTTTGAATGCTCCAATTTATAAAGAACCACCACAAAATTTCAATATTACGTGTTCATCGTTGGTATGTTATTAAAATGAATATAATAGAAAAATTACATTTTAATAACAGTGCAGGTAATGTTCTTGTTGATATCATATTTTGTCGTTGGAATTACAAGTAGCTTCATTAGGAGCTAGATATCGTATTGATACTGTATCAGTGTTCTTGAAGATAATTGTTTGAAGATAATTGGGGAACGGTTTGAGCAGAGTTACGATTGAGAAAGTAAAGATTTTGATGTTCATTGATGTTATTGTTCATGGTTCTTGAAAATGTGTTAAATAAAACAATGGTTCTTTTAGTGATGAAAATAATCCACATTTAAGAATACTAGCTACTCGGAGAACATCTCAATCAAATATTATTTGAAAATGATAATACAGACTATAACATCACTAAAAAAAAAAAACCCCGAAAAAATTGTTTAATATACAATCGTATATGTAATCGAATATGTAATTCACGTTGAATAAAGTGATCGACACCGTATTATCAGAGATCGTTAGCTACGTTAGCAAAGAATTATTCCGACGTAGGCGAGGCATTCGTTAACAAACCATCGTGTCCTGATTGTGGCCACGGCGTGGCACACAGAAATTTCGTCCCGCTTTGTTCGGCCGATGTACAAGCGCGGGGCCACTTCTCGAAATAAATGTTATCAGCCCTGGCAATGTCTTGCTTGGAGAAGCGACCGAGGGGGGTCGCAGGGGCATGGCCGGGGCTGAAGACGTCTCCAGTGATAAGACGATAAAGAGAGGAGGTATAAAACGAGACAAGAAGGCTGTGTGTTAGTGGCAACATCTCGACGAATTCCAACTTTCATAAAGAAGCGACCGTGTACAGTCCTACCATTGAATTTTCGTCAAGTTTTGAAATATTCATCTGTCGACACGGAAAGGGTCATTCGTGACCCGTGGAAAAATCGCGAAAACGAGGTGACGAGGGAAAGGGAATTAGTAAATGGAATGGGAAAGAGTTTCGAAGAATTTCGCAGCTCGGATTGAATCGGTGAGTAATTTTATCGAGTTATTTGCTTTTTACGTCTTCGTAATTTACGAAGATTATTCTAGAACCGATATATAGTATAAACAAATTTAAAATATGTTTCGTCGATCCTTAAATGGTTCCTCACTTATCCACGTAAACGTGGATTTCATCTGGGTTGCTTGACAAGAATTAACGACTATAATTATTTAAACTCTGTTCCACAAGAAGTTTGTCGAAAGTTTCTCAAAAATTTGTAATGATACGAAAATACTTTTCTATGATAGTACCGTCGGAACTTCTAATCGAAAAGTACAAGTTCGAAAATATAATTTACAGAAGTTAAAGCTTGTTAGGCACGGTGTATAATTTCGCGCCGAGCAGACGGAAGCGAATCAATGGCCGAATAAAGGAGGGAGGCACGAGGGTTCGGCCACGCGGAGATTATCGAAGGCAATCAGCTATTTGTTCTGTTATTAACTCGATCATAAATTCGCCATGCGACAGTGTACGAGCGGTCGCGTTCGGCTGTCGTTCTGTCAGCGTTCCTTTATCACCCCCTCGTTACACATTCCCCATCGCGCGTAGGGCGTGAACGCGATTTTTATCGGTCATCGACGAGAAGAAAAGGCACGCTTGGGGGACCTCGTCTCTTTTCACGCTCTCCTCGACGTTGCACGAAACCCTTATCTGGATACTGACACTTTCAATTAGTCACTATCGCGAGCAAACATCGCGCCTTCTTTCGCGAATTTCACCTCGTTGAATTGTTAGCAATTTCTCCTTTAACGCACGCTCGGTATTCGCAAAGTTCACGTTTCGCGGTTTTAACTCTCTTTTTGGAATTAATTGTTTAAAAAAAAAAAAAAAAAACACACCAGCATCACATTAATGCAAACAATGCTTTAAGCGATTTTAAGATTCTGCTATGTAGGATATTTATTATTGTTACAGATTGAGAAACATTCATTGAATCGTAATAAAGAAGAAGGATTCGAGTGGTTTCTTAATGAAATAAAGATACATTATCCTGCTGTATTCCATATTGTTTGTTTTTTAATTATGTCTTTCCGTTTACTTTCTATATATATATACATATATTGTAGAACAAAAGGAATATATTGTATATGTACATTCTGTGCGGATTCGAAGTACAATATCCCTCTCAGAAAATAAAGAAAAACCTCTATTCTGTCGCAACCTGAGGGACTCCTCGTCATACACCAAATCCTTCCACGTCTACATCGACTTCGACCATACGATCAGAAGTCTCAAAGACACCGTCACGGTTAAACGGCACTTTCCCAAGAAAAAGAAGAAACATTTTCCGGTGCGAGGAAGGTGAAGAAGCAAAGAAACAGCGAATGGGCCAAGGGACGTTAAGTGACTTTTCGACGCTCGCTTTTCTCCCGATCGCGACGATACCGAAGGCACGGGAGACCGAGGAGGGAATTTCTCTATCAGTCGTCGTTCTCTGTTCGTCCCGGTCACCTTCCGTTATCGTCTTCGTCGCTCTTCATGGCGGTGGGGTGCCACGCGACCGCTGATTATACCATTCATCGCGCGGCGTGGTCCAGAAGAGGGTTGCAAGCGGACTCGTAAACGTCGTAGCATCGTTTCCCCTCTCTGTTCGCCCCTACCCCGTCGCCCAGTGTTGCCCACTTTGGTCTCGGTGCCTACTACGGCCTTGAATGCTCCCTCATCAATGAAACAATCCAGCTTTCCGGCGGCCCGTCGCCGACGGCTCCTTAATTTCGGGACGCCCGCGCTCGCGGACGTCTCCCTCTCTTCTTCGATCAATTACCAGTGTTTGTATTTGTTTCCACGCTGATTTCGTCCATTTTCGTCGACTTGGACCCTCGGGGACGATTTTGTCCGCGAGCTTTCGCGGTTTTTATGCCGGCGATTCGGGGGTGGTTTAATCGTGGCGCGCGTGGACATTGAATATTAGGGCTCTTTAGGACATTTTAGTATTTAGGTATTGGCAGAGGTGGGGAGTATTCGGAGGTTTTAGTTCTTTATTGTAAAAGACTTAGAGGTATTGGAAAATTCTTTTACTTTTGTAACGGTTAATATTTTTAGTGCCAAGAACACCATTCTTGTGCCTTGTCCCTTATTACCTAGCTGTACTAAACAGTTAGATTTAATGAGAAGATTACACAGAGGTGGGATTATTCAGAAGCATTATTTTTGTATCGTAGAAGTCTCAGAGATATTGGAAAATCCTTTTATTATTGTCACGATTAATATTTCTAGTGCCAAGAACAGTATTCCTTGCGCCTCATTCCTTATTACCTAGGTGTACTAAGCAACGTAGCTAGAAGATTACACGTAACTCTACCGATTACTCCAAGAACCGAAAGCTATTCCTAGCTACTTGAAAATACCCCCCGCCATTATTTAATCCCGTCAAATGCATCGCGACCATGTTAAAGCGTTCCTCCTCAGTCCCCCAACTTTCGTCTCCACCTGGGAATCGCTGTCGAAGTGCCGCAACACCTGAACTTCACCTCGAAACACACATCCGTTGGAGAATTGGTGTTATATTTGCTGGTCGGTTGAAGTAGTCCGTCGGCCGTGACAACCCGCAGGCTGCACGGCCGATTGAAACAATGTCGACTCACAAAGAGCGCGAGGCATCATCGTTGCGATTGCTGAAGCGACAACAACGTTGGCCGGCGATGCCGAATGGTAAGAGGCATAGGATGGGCGCAGGAAAAGGGGACGAGGGGACGGTGGGAATGGGTGCGTCGAAATGCTCGCTGATTACTCCATTGTCGCGCCGGTTGTTTCAGTTAATCGCGACTCCCCGTGGCGTTTTGTTGTCCTTTTATCGCGCCGTTCTGCCGACCAGCTGCATCCAGCCGGATACCAGGGGGTTGCATCCCCTGAATTCAAGGAAACGTCGAGACGGCGATGAAATTCTTTAACGACGTCACCGAGCTCGTAGGATTGCTAGGCGAGCTTGGTGTAATGGAATTTTGGGAAAGATTTGTTATCCAAATAGGAATATACGTAGATTTTCAGGGAGATGATTGGGTAAAGTAATTGGTTTGAATTTTTAGGGATGCACGAGTATCGATGTTATTGTTGCTGGTTAGGATTTGA